CCCCAGCCCCCAGGCCAGTGCCTCTTTTGTCATAGGAGGCACTGGTGACATTTTTCTCAGCAATTGCTTGGCTCTGAGTCTGCAGAGCCACCAGAGAATGCCAGCTTGTTTTTGCCTTTTGAAGTCTGCCCTTGGGATTTGGCGGAGTAGCTGGATGTGTGCTTAGCCCATAGTGGAAGACACTGTCACCATTGTTTACCCAGAACCTCATGTACCAGCCATGGCTCTCGGCATGAAAATACAGCAGCGCATTAAACCTCCCTCCTGGTGGGTCTGTCGGTTCTGGTACCATAAGGGTTCAGCCAACATCTGAACGTCAGTGAGATATCGCGGCCAGTGGGCTAGGGTCAAGCACGTTCTCTTCCAGTCACTTTTACTCCAATGTTGCTTTTACTATTCCACAGTCATTAATTTTTTAAACAATGTTTTGGTGCAGGAGCAGAGCCTAATTCTCTCCTGCTACTCTTGTTGGAAGTGAGTAAAATTGTCCAGCTGAAATGCGACCACAGTTTATAGCTCAAAAGCTTCCTAGACGCATGTAGGTGGAGTTTTGGTTAGGGGCGCTGACCACGTTGGCGTCCCCTGGCAGCGTCGCTCCCCTCAGGCCCCTGTCTTCCCTGGATCAGGAGGTGAGGGTGGGTCTCACTGTTCCCGCGTCCCTGGCCTCACACACTCACGTACATGCTGTCAAAATCATTTTTGTTCTTGTGTGTTTCTAATTTTCTCTTGTCCCTCTTTTCCTTTTTCTTTATTCCTTTTTCTCTTGTACTGCCACGTTAGCATCTTGTTGAGTCTGAAAATGTGGGCTGTGCACACCCTGAATTTGAAATAGCCAGATCGCCCTCCGTACTGTCTCCATCGCTTTAAAAACAAAAACTTAACAGCTGCCTTGATACCTGTATTATCCTAGTTTTCTTTTTCATTTCTAATTTTTTGGAATATTTGCTTTGTTACCACATCACCTACTGGTGTTTGATACCTGTTAAAATCCGGGCTTTGAGGAACCTGTTTGGTCCTCCTTATATGTGGTGACAAATGTGCCTTTATTAAATTTGTTTGATTGTTTTGAAGAAATAAGATGCGAATTGATTTGGGC